CTTCCTGTATACACAGGGGTGAGATTTCTTACCGAGACATCAGTGCTCAAAAAAAGTCCCGGTAAGGAAGCTCTAATACCACGTTTTTACCAACATAATTTGTTTTATTTCCCAGAGGTTCCCCATCAGAGCGAGGGGCAGGTTTAGCTGTACAGCTGCATCTGATGTGCGAGTGCTTATTTGATGTTACGTGCTGGCAGGCCGTAATAATACTGAACCTCCTGCTATCGGTCTGCACTCAGCCTCGTTTAGGAGACCAACCCTTGAACTCTTATTTGATTTTTATCTGCACAGCCACCTTGGGTAGGACTGTTCTCAACATATAATAGCACAGTGCACGGGGATGTGAGGGTTATTTAATGCTACTGTCGGTAATTCCTCTTGCTGTTTGGGAATGAATTTTTATATTATTTTATCTAATTACTTTATAATTAGATACATAGCTTATCTACTTTTACATTGATATTTATATTAATGAAAAATGATTGTGACACAAATTATTTCAGATCTATGAAGTGCACCCATGGTAGGGAAGGCTCTGCTGTTTTAAGCAGAGTCTGTATCTGATCTGAGTAGTGAGGTTATATATTTTTAAGGAGAAACCTGAGTTTGAATCAAGTATTAAATAATGAAAAAGAATGGCATAGCCTTTAAATTTTCTCTCTATTTCTGGACAAACTTCAAAATGAAATAAATGCTTGGTCTGGTTTCTGGGGCGAAGGGAAGTGCCTGTTCCTGGACTCTGACTAGCTGAAGGGATTTGCTGTAGCCTTGCTTTCTGTGTAGCGGAGACACAAACAAAGTGCAGCTTAAAACACTCTTTAAGCTCCTCTGGGCTGCACTGGCCTCAAACAATCACAGGGCACAGAAAAGGTCCTACCTTCGCTCCCCTGAGATCCTGAGGGTGGTATGTGCATCAGCACACCCTTCCTACGTGCAGCAGTGAAGCAGCAGCAGCCCCATGCTTGTCTTGCATCATTTCACTTCTTTGGGTTGTTTTTTTTTCTGTATTTCAAGCTCTCACTTCTTTTTCTCCACTTGGTTTGTTTCTTGTAACAACCTCTTGCTGACTTTTTCCTGATGGGCTTTCACTTTCCCTTGCAAGTTTGTTAAATCAGCCTTCGTGAACCCTGTGAGAAGATGCAAAATTCCTGCTGACCTTTTGAATATCTCAAGGCAGCAACCAGCAAGAGGAGGGGAACTTGCTCCCTGTCTCACAGCCTCCAAACTGCCCCGGCCGTGTTCAGCAAACAGGGACTCACCTTGGCATGACCTTGTGAGCAAGAGGCCTCAGTGCAGCACTGGGGCCTTCACAGGACAGGGCTTCTGCTGAAGCCCAGGAGCCTGCTCGAAGAGAAGGCAGTCTTGGGTGCTGTCGGGATAAAGCCTCACCTGAGCACAGTGGGATGTTTTGCCACATGAAATATCAATTTCTAAATACTGAATTGCAGCACGCTGCTAGCAGAAAGCTGAGCAAAACTGACACCCGGGATCGCACTGGGAAGAAAATTTCAGAGGGGCTGGTGCCATGTGTTTGAGACACGGGCGGTGGTGTGTCAGTGGCTTAACTTGAGCACAGTTGGGAAATTATATTTTGGCTCACTCCTGGACTTAACCTAGAAGTTCCATGAGAGATAAACTAGTAATCTTTCCTGTCTCTACCAATGGACGTGCTGAGGTTTTTTTCTCCACTTTTCCCCCCTGCTTCCTATCACACTATTCCCGTTCTCATTTCTCCAGTGACTGTCCTAAAGTGAAAGTGGAAGCCAATGATATCCCAGAGCGAGCAGCATCTGGAACAGTCCTGTCTCTTGAGGAGAAAACAGGGTCCCTAGAATGGGATGCAGACTGTGAGGTGCATGGATGCATTTAGCAGTGCAAGGTTAGAGGAACTGTGATATGACACTCCCAGGTTTCTTCCTCCTCACCCTTTTACCCTTCTTCTCTCCCTTTGTCCTCTCCTTCCAATTCCCCTTTTCCTTCCTCATCCCCTTCCCTGGTAAGGACAATGCTGAACATGTAAGCCATGGGTTTGGAGTTGGTCTAATTTCTGATGATCCTGCATCTCTTAAGGGCAGTTTTATGCTTCCCTTCTGTTGTCTCAATAACACCACCAAAAACCAACTTATGGTGGAAGTAAGCGGCTCATCTATGTTTTGTTATATTGGTTGCCTTCTCTAGCTAATGGCAAAACAGCAGAGTGCCACAAACTCTTTTTTTTTTTTTTTTTTAAATTTAAAAGGTTACATGTGTGAAACTTAACCAAAATGAAGTTAAAATCCTACAATAAAAGTAGTATTGAAAACAAGGTGACAAATCAGCTGGGCTTTGTTTCTCTCTATAACTTGCTGGGGCAGGGAAATCTTTCGGTTGATCAGTCACTTCAAACTTTTTTATTAACCCCCTTTAAGCGTGTCAGTCCTAACACCACCTGTATCCAGAAGACAAATGGTATCCATTATGCCCGAGTAGTGAAATGCCTGTGAGGTGAGGTGTCTGGTCCAAACAGAGGTGTTCAGAAGTTTAAAGCCAGACTTCTGCTAAAAATAAGCTAGTATCCTCCTGTGGATTTTCATGGGACTAGGATGGTTTATACCGGGGGAAGATCTGGTGCTTCATACATACTTATATGACTTATTTCACCCTCATGCTTAGGAAAAAGAAAGTTTTGGGGTGATTAATAGATGGATCGGACTGCAAAAACTTGTAGTTTTCTAGAGTTGGAAGGAAGCAGCTAGTAACTTCAGACCTCTCCACAGTAAAGATCTGCAATTAAAGCACAGCCTAGAAATCTCCCTGCCTCTGAGCTTTGCCTCCCAACACCTCTGAAGAGGCAGGGTACCCGAGTCCTTCATACACCACTGCTGTGCCCGCAGGCACCTGCAGAATAAAGCTGCGCTAGAATGTTGCCTCCCACAGAACAGCTGCCTGGTTGCTGTGAACTGGGGGAGGCAGCTTGCTCTTATCCCAGCGGCAGAAGTTAAAAATACATGGGGAGCAAGGCAGCCCGTTCCCACTGACTCTCCTTTGGGCCCAGGAGGCGCGTGGTATGTGCTTAGCTCCCAAAACGTGAGTCTCCGTCCTGCTGGATACGTGTCAGCAGTAATGTTCCATTCAAAGTGACAAATCACAGAATCCTTCAGGTTGGAAAAGCCCCTCGGGATCATCGAGTCCAACCCTCAGCCCAACTCTACAAAGTTCTCCCCTACCCCACAGCTCATCCCAACGGCCCTTAAACCCCCCAGGGATGGGGACTCCCCCCTCCCCGGGCAGCCTGTTCCACTCTCGGACCACTCTTGCTGGGAAACGTTTTCTCCTGCCCAGCCTGACCCTCCCCTGGGGCAGTTTCCAGCCGTTCCCTCTTGTCCTGTCCCTGATCCCCTGGGAGCAGAGCCCAGCCCCAGCCTCTCTGCAATGTCCTGTCAGGAGCTGCAGAGAGGGATGAGGGCTCCCCTCAGCCTCCTCCTCCTCACACTGAACACTCCCAGCTCCTTCAATCACTCCTCATAAGATTTATTCTCCAGGCCCTCCAGCTTCATTAATAGCTGACTGATATTCCAGACAGGAAGAAATTAGCTTAAATTTGTCTCTGTCAGTCTGAGGGCACAGTGCGAGTGAATTTGGTACTTGTTTAAGAGAGCACAGTGGGGGCAGAGCCTCCTATTTGACTTATCAGCAAGAGAGGCCCCAGCAACTGGTTCTGGATACGTGCACAGTTTCATTCGACTTTGCGTGGGTCATTGAGCAGAGGCATTGCAGAGAGCCTGCTGGTGGTGGTCAGGGCTGCCTGCTCAAACAACTAAAACCTCCCCTGGGCTCTGCAGATGACACCTTTTTGAGAATTTAAAATAAGAAAAAAAAAAAAAGCACAGCAGCTAGGTAGGTCACTGCATCGCAGCTGGTCACTCCCATTTGTTCCTCTTGTTGCTCTGGCTTCCAGGAGGCTGGTGACAAATGGGTCTAGTGCTAAGCAAAGGTTTAAGAGTGTCTCATGCTGTGGCTTGATGAGCTACAATACGTGGAGAAACAGGAAGATGGCAAAATGCGTGTGTGTGCTGTGGGGTTGTTATGCTTATTTGGATCTGAACAAGTTACACTAGGTAAGTACCACCACATCGCTCATTGCACGAAACGTGCAAAATCATTGACTTGAGTCCCCTGAAGTAAAAGGACAGTTGGATATGAATAAATATAATAATTTTTCCTTGGGCTAATTCTTGCTTATTTTGCTGCCAAGAGCACTCAGGGCCTGCATTTCACAGAAACATCTTGGTTGGAAAGGACCTTGAAGCTCCTGAGTCCAACCATGACCCTCCCCCTGACTGTTCCCAACTCCCCCAGATCCCTCAGCGCTGGCTCAGCCCGACTCTTCAACCCCTCCAGGGATCCCGGGGACTCCCCCCTGCCCTGGGCAGCCCATTCCAACGCCCAACAGCCCCTTCTGCACAGAAATCCTTCCTAATATCTAGTCTAAACCTTCCCTAGTGCAACTTGAAGCGCTTACCTCTTGTCCTATCGTTTATTATTCGTCAAAGCTTCCTCTGAAAGCTCAATTCTGATGTATTTAGATGCTTGCTCATTTGAGCCACAGTGTAGGCTTTTCCTTTGCAGTGCTTTGATGAATCGTTTTTCTTTCCATCCCAAGAATCAATTATTATTGTTATGGGCTTTCATCTTTTCACGCACTGCGCCCTGACCATTGAATACTCCTTGAATTTCCTCATCTTTCCTGTCTAAGCCACTAAATGCAGTTAAAAGCAATGTTCCTGTTCTTTGACAGCCTTGATTGCCACCTGAGGTATTTCTCAGTAACCAAATTCTCTTCCTAGAAAACAGCGCTTCTCTGGCTCCCGGCTACTGCAATATTGTTCACATCGCTGAGGTTTATAAGGTGTTTGGTGAAAGGTTCTCTAGAAATGTCAAATTCTGGTTGGTATTAATGAAAAACAGACCGTTCCCTAAGCCATTAAAACTAAGAATATGTTCTTGCAGGAACCAAGATGTCTTCACCAAATGATGTCAGCATGGAAGAAATACCACTGGAAGATGATGAGCGAGACAGCATAGAATACAAGATCCTGATGGCCTATGCCCAGCGGCGACTGTCTGGCAGTAAATATGGGAATCTTCTGAGAAATGAGGCTAACGTAAAGAAATCATCATCCCTAATCAGAAGAAAAGTAAAGATGGTCCATCTTGATCCCTTTGATGGTCAAAGCCAAAGAATTGTTTTTCAGGGTGGCGGTTTCAGGAATCAGGGCAAAGAGCAAGTGAAAGCCAAGAGCTTGTCTACCTCCAACCGATCTTTTCTCTCTGGCAGAGAAAAGAGGGAAAAGCCCCCAGTGCCGTTACTGCAGGGAAGGCGCACAGTAAATTTCTCCATTTCTGAGACCCAACCTGAGATCCTTTCACAAGGGAATTCTCAGCATCAGACAAGTATGTCACAGTTCTTTCTTTCTGTTGCCTGCCTTTAACTCTCTCTCTAAATAGCTGAAATAGCCGTGGCCTGTGGAAAAGGCAGGAGGAGGAAGGTGTTTTCTTCCACTTTTTGGTCACCTCTTATACTAGCTTTATTGATTTCTACTGAGGAAGGCAGATTGCCAGATCATCAGCAGTGCTTGCCCGCACAAGACTCATGCTTGTGACTGGCTTTGCTCTTTTCCATCATAAGGTGGTAAGTATCATATAATTGCACAGGTTGGGTTTTTTCCAAACAGTTGCACAGGCTGGTTGGTGCTTTTTTTTTTTTTTTTTTCCCCCTGAGCATTGTTTTTTTCTTTTTCATACCCTAGAAAGAAAACAGAAAACACTAGTCAGACTGCAGACCTCCACACTAAAATCAAGGAAGAGAAGTTGTTTGAAGGCCTGTTTGAGGAGCTTTATCATGCAGTAAATATTCCACAATAAAGACAAAAGTGCTAGATTCTGCTTGAAGCTCTGGTGCCAAGTAGTTGGCTGTGACCAGCCCCAAGCACGGAGCAGACTGCGTCTCCAGGCCACCTCTCGTAACCCCACCATGTATCTTAAATGGAAAGAGTCTTCCAGAGTTACCTAAGTCTCCTTTACACGTTGTTATTATCCAAAGTCTGAAGCTGCCCCCCATGAGTTGGAAGAAGAGGTGGTAGGTGGCTGTAATCCATCTGGCATCCAGGAATTCCATCCATATAAGCCCCCAAAGCCTGTCCCACATCAGTTGCTGCACTGCAGGCAGTAAGATTTTACCTTTCCTGCTCTGGATAATAACTAATATTTTGACTTCTTGCACAAGACTGGGAGAGGAGGATGAGGTATCCCCATTAAGTTGCCATATTGCTTTCATACAGATAAGGCACGGAGTTGTTTACTTTGTCCCAGCTTGATACTCGGTGTCACAGTGATTGCTCTCCCCTTTCACTGCATTTAAAGATATTTCTAAAAATTATCCACCGCTGACTTCTCTCTCCAGGCTAATGCTCCACCCCTGACCAGTTTAACCATCCTGGGCCAGCTCCTACCCACCAAGCCCATAACTATCCCTGCTGACAGTCTCTCAAGCAAGACTCCCTGCCCCAGCCCAGTGCCTTTCACCAGGGGAAAATAACTATAAATTTCCCTTGTTTGGTTGCCGTGGCCGTATGTTACCATCCAGATATCTGGTTTTACATCCGTTTTATTTTCACATTGCGAAGGAAAGTGCTGGAAAGTTTGGGTGCGATCACTTGATGGCCCTGCCAACACATCACCGAGTTCCCTGCAGCATGGCCTCGAGGCAAAGTCTCCCCGTGCTGGGTATTAACCTCCCAGGGGATCCTTCTTGGCTCCAAATCTGGCCCTTACCCGCCCTTCAGCAGATTACTGGACCAATTCCTAAAACATGATTATCATTTATCACTTACACTTCTAGCAGCTGCACTACAAGCTTGGTCACACCGTTCTGGAGCAAATGGGGGTGCTTTTGGGGATTACTTATCTAAAGTGAAGGCCTATTCAATTTAAACCAGTTGCCTAATCTTAGGTTTCCAAATTAATGAGCAGCCTGATCCCCATCCTGGAAGTTTAGCAGCTCCCTGACAAGATCTCCAGGCAGGCGAGGGGATGGAAAAGTCTTGGGGTTGATTCACCAGCCTTAAAATGCATTTTTTATTGGCTGCGTGAACCCCTGCTGCCCCCACAATAAACTCTGCTCATGAATCTTACACGTGTTATGGGTCAGGTCACTGCTGAGCTGGCCTTGATGTCTGCTGGTCACCCAGGAGCTGCCACCTGGCAGCGGTGGTGGGGAGACAGAGCTTTTCATCCCAAGGTCTGTGAGGTGAATTGTAAAGAAAAGCATTTTTTATATGAAACAAACCTTGCACCAGCTCCTCCTGCTCTCTTTGCTATAGCAGGATCCCCGTTGAGTGCCCTCACCGAGCGATGCCTTCAGCCAGTCAAGGTCCTGCACAGGGTCACTACACAAGGTGGATAAATCCAGTCTGGTTGCCGAGTTCTCCCGATACTCACGTCTGTTTAATACAGGTGTCAAGGACACGAGAAGCTTTTGTGCTAGAGGTGCCTCTGAAGTGAAGTCTACTTCTCCTTTGCTCAGGATTAGCCTGTAAGAACAAGGGAAGAGCATTCAAACACACCATCTTTTCTGAATCTGGACCTGTAGATGAACTAATCATGGGCAATACAACTCAGGTCTAAGATTCACCATCCTGTAGAGCAGAACTCTCACATTTCTTAATTCATGGCATGCTTCTGGCCTGCAAGGTTGTATGCTGGTGAGCAACACTCACACTTGCTTCTGCAGGGCCTCTGTATAGCTAGCTGCTGCTCAGATACTAGAAAGGGGTTGTTTTGCATTACTTGTCTCTAAATTATTACCAGCTGATCTCAAGCAATAGCAAAACCCCAGCATGGAGAAATGTAGCTCTTGGTAACCTCTGGGCACTTCCACTTCAGGGGCCGTGTAAATGGGTAAATCACCGAATTATTTCCTGGCAAGATTAATTGCTTTATTTCCCACCCTCTTCCCCAATCAGGTGAAACAGCAGATGTCAACCACATTGCAGACAAACTTGCCAAGCTTGTTACTTCCAGATCTCAGGAATCTCCTTCAGATGTGTCATTCAGGATGATGTATCATGCCCCACGTCAGGAACAAGACAATAGCCAGCCTGCTGATGGACATAAGGGCGAGGAACACGGTAAGGGTGAAGAGTCCTGCTGAGGGGCAGTACATCAGGTTGGGACGGCACACTGAGGCATCCTCTAGACATGGTGAAGCACATGGGACTCCTGCAGTAAGATGCTGTGAAAAAGGAAGTTTGCTCTGTCCAAGGAGGTGTGACATGAAGAAAGGAGGACGAAGGCAGTGACATAAGGTGGCAGAGCAGTGGCAGGACTGGGGGCAGAGTAATACATCAGGGCTCTAAGGCCAAAGACCAGTCGTTGGGGCAATAATGTCTTGGTCAATCCCTCTTTGATGACGGGAAAGCACTGCTCAATGTCTGTTCAGAGTCTGAACTGCTTGTCTTCCATGATGCCTGCAGAGATTCAGTTTTAATACAAGCTTTTAGGGATTTTTGGTTACAAGAGGGATACTGCCATACTTGCATTTTCTAATCTGACAAACCCTGAGTTTGTCTCAATGAGTTGCAGAAGGTGTAATTGATATTGATGAGGGGATTTTTTTTTTTTCCTCCCTAATTTTCAGTCCATTTTTGTGGGCTTCCACTAATTGCTCTTTTGTTCTGGCTTGTTATCAGACACACCTCGAAGCCCAAAAGGCTGGCAGTGGAATGTTAAAGACCTTGCTCTTTCCCAGATTAACTGGAGCAAAACATCAGGCTGCATTGCTTACTCCATGCAGACTAGAACAGTGAGCTTCAGTTTAAAACCCGGATACACAATTGTCTGTGGATTTGCCACAAAATAGCAGCTGTTTTCATGATTAAGTGACACAAAGGCTTTTGCCATAGTTTTCTATCTGGATCCTACTAGAAGGCTGCAATATTTATGTTACTTTTTTTCCTTAACAGATGAAGAAAAGATAATACAAGAAATAGTTTCACTGTTAAGACAATCAGGGGATCGACTAGAAGAAAAGGTAACTCCTCTTTTCAGGAGCTACACAGGCTGGACTGTGAGAGAGAGGTTACTCTTCTCTTGGGAGTGAATGTTTTATAACCTAGCACGCTCCTCTCTATCCTGAACTTCTCCTTCCACAGTTAGGGCTTTCTGAAACCTTCACCATTCATCCTGAAATCTTTCTTAAGACCAGAGGACTAGCAGACATCTCTGCTGGGGTGGGGAAGGAAGGTAATAGAAAGGCTGTGTGTTTCAAAGAGGAGTCACTCACATCATTCCCGTTGAGTTTCCCGGGACGTTGGGCACTTGACTGACTCTGAGAAACTCTTGTGTTCACATTAAATTTGACATACAAGTTGTTCCCAGTGGAGGGAGGGAAGCTCTACAGCTTTGAGAGTTCTTGTACGGAAAGGGAAATAAATCTTCTGTCTGCATTTTAGAAAGTCCTACCCAAAAGTTATAGAAGAACCCCTGCCTGAGTCCATTAGTTGGAGTGCATGTTTTTTCTGTTAAAAAAAACAGGGATTTGTTCCCTTTACTCCCTTCTTTAGCTGCCCCTTCTGCTCTGTAAAGATATAATCCAAGATGGAGGAGATGCTCAGCTCCTGCAGCAGAGGGGTACCCAGGTGCAGTAAGAAGCATCACGAAGATGGTGACTGAGCAAAAGTAGCTTAGCAGGGCACGTCTTGCCAGCACTTCTCATAACCTTGCCTCTGCTGTCATCTTCCCACTGCTCCTGTGCTCCCATGTCTCCTCATCTGCAGGTCGCAATACCAGGGTCACACTTGTTTTGCTTTCTTTCTCTCTTTCTGCTTCTTTCAGTCAAAAAAATGAAGATTATTTTTGAGGAAAAAACATAGAGCCACCTCCAGAGCCTGAGGGAGCGGCTTTGCAGTGAAGTGGGGAGACCGTGTGCCATCTCTTGCATTCCTCACCACGATTAGGCCATATTGCATGTATCACCTGGAGATGTTCTCCTTTCCTGATGAGATGGGGAAATCAGTTCTGACAAAAATGGCTCGATTTAACAAATCCTTATTCTTATTTTCAGATCAAAAAGGACAGGCTTTTCTATCAGTGTTTTAAAGAGATGCTGTCCTACACCTTCTTCGAGAGGATCACTGATACGTTCCTGGAGAACGTCTCAGCAGATTCAACAAATGAGCCAAGAGGCCAAGTACAACTCACAAAAGTTGCCTTTACAATGGAACTTGCCACCAGACTTACTGCTGTGGACAACCACCCCATGAACCTGGTCTTGGGCTTCGGATTAAAGTACCTCAGAGAACACTTCAAGCCGTGGATTCAGGACCAGGGTGGCTGGGTATGTGTTTTGCCTCCCTTGACTTGTGCTTCTGGCCCCTCTAACATGGGCCAGAAGCAAACCAAACCAAACTCCACGTTCTTGAACACTGCGTGTACTCCAGCTGTGGAATTACTTGCTAGAAGATATCTTCTATGCTGCACGTTTTTAATTTACACATGCACAAAAATCAATAGGGGACATTTGTGGAGGGTTGTTAAGGATAAAATACCATTCCTGGCACAGACAGTCTCTCCACCACAAATAGCTGAAGCTGGAAGAAACACCAAGAAACTTCATACTTGCCCTAATCCTATACTTCTCTGTAGAAGTGTGCTGCTTGCAAGTTCTGGGGACAGCACAGCGGTTCAGGAGTTCATACAGCCATCCTAGTCCTTTTGTGCTTCATGAAATGAATGGAAACATTCAGCAGGTGCACAACCTATATCCATAAGAATAGACAGCACACGAGGCCAGGAAATCCTCCTGGCAAACCTACTGGCTGACCTCATCAGAGTTCAAATTAGGGTGAGGGTACCCATTGCTTTTACAATTATATGTTTTCTTTCTATGTTACAGGAGAAGGCTCTGACTTCACTGGATCAGGAAGAAGTAGAGTAATCATCACTGAATTCATTCATCAGGGAGCAGGAGCCTTCAGTTAAGGAACACAGGATCTTACCACAATCCAACGCCGCGGTGATTGGTGGCTATATATTTTTAATTTTTCCATGGCTAACTCTGGTGGGTAACACTCCACTTTCTTAAAGCCAGTACTGATGTAGAAGTGTTCTTCAGTGGTTATGAAGGCACTTCCAACTCCCCTGGAGCATTCAGCCCCACAGATAGTGATTTTAGGTACCTTTATGAGTAAAGATGCTTGCCACTGCTCCTGAGGATGGTTAAAGTGAAAACTGGGGGAAAATACCAAAGTATACAATCAAGAACCACTGGACTGTGATCAACCATCCACCAAGTGAGACAAGTGCTGCCACATTCCTGTGGTTCACAGCAGTAACATCTGTTACTAATCCCACAGTCTCTCGTTACAAGACATACCAACACACTGCTATCGGTTTCCTCTCTCTCCAATTAGATTCTCCAAAGTCCTGATGCCATTTTATACTTCTAAAAGGGACCAAGTAAGGCAAAAGAGGGATTTTTACTCCAGTGCCTTCCCCGTTCCCTCAAGAAAAAGAGACTTGATCTACCTACAGATGCTTTTAATTTGAATTCTTCTGTTTTAAACCCCTTCAAAGCATAGTGCAATAGATGTTGACTTTTACAACATTATTTTGTCCATTAATGTGGAAGATACAAGCACTGTGTAAGCTTTGTAGTCTGAGAAATTTAAAAATTCTCCTACCATGTCAGTTTTCCTCCTTATTCAAAAGGAGCTTGGTGCTATGTGTAATCTCAGGGATTTCTCCATAAACTGAACTGGCCCTTCAGCCACGGAGAACAAGTGATCTGAAGAGAGTTCTTGAATGTGTATGTGTGGCAGTGAAAGGAACACCAGTGCATCATTTAGAGTAGAAGTGGATGTCAGCAAAACTATTCATGATTTTGAGCTTGGTTTCGTGGCCCATTTAGTTGATAACTTCTGAATTTCCGTGCCCCGCAAATTCACAGTGGGGGAAGAGGGGACTCAGGACAACTGCTGAAGCTGTAAAACTGTGACTTTCCAGAAAAAAACAGGGAATGTGAATGAATGAACGAAGGTTAAAAAAAAAAAAAAAAAAAAAAAAAAAAAAAAAAAAAAAATTCAAAAAATGAAGAGGGTCTCTGCCTCTCAGTAAGATACCCTTCCATTACAGGTGCCTATTCTGTACAAGTACTTTTACTACAAAGATTGCACAGAGAAGTGATTAACAAATCATAAATTTGAATGAAAATGATAAAAAGCATTTTAACTGGATGGGTAAAATATGCAATGCTATCAAAGACCAAGTATTTTTCTAATAAACCTTAAACTTTCAACTCATGCATAGCAAACTCTGCCTCTGTTTGGACACATATATGTGAAACAAAAGAGAGAGAAGATGGAAGCAAGTTGCCTTTGTTTCCTTTCTTCAAAGGATTTGGGAAATACTTGATATATCTCTACACTGTAAATGTAAGATTCCCTTAGTTTTAAGAACATCCAATCTCTCTGATCACATCAGATGTCCCCAACGGTGGATGATTTGTGGGGGAGAGGCAAGAACTTACTCAAAAGTTCAAAATGTTGTTCTTCTCCTTCTATCTCTTTCTCCAACAGCTTTTTCCTATGGAAAAAAAAAAAAAAAAAAAAAAAAAAAAAGTGAGGCATTGTACCCTCCCACACATTGGAGGCTGCTGCTTTATTATAAATTTGGTTGGTTTCTAAAGCTGGCTGGTTAGCTAGATCTTGGCTCTGAAGAACTAGATCTGATTCCATTTGAATTGCACTAAGACTAGACCCGCTCTGCTGGCGTACACGTTTGCCATTAGTTGGGTGCTAGCTCATGGAAGCCACTTTTTTCATTTTCTCTGCTTGAATTTAGTCTGCTGTTTAGCGAGGGGAAAAATCTGTGTTTGTGAGTGTTGTTTTTCCAGCTGAAGGTTTAGCAGCCCAAAACCCACACTCGTCCCTCATCCCCAGTTTGGTACCTTAGGACCAGTTTCCTGCCAAGAGCAGAGCCAACAGCACAACAGACCGACTCGAATGGGAATGAGAAAACTAGCCATCTAAGAAAAGATATTTAGCTGGTTTTTATTTTTCTCTGGGTTGTTGAGAGGACTTTTTTTTTTTTTTTTCAGTAGCAGTAGGGGCCAGCATAGGAAATCAGCCAAGTGAGCTGTTTCTTATTTAGTCATTCTTACATTTGTCATCCACATCAGTTAGATTTTAAGAGCCATCTACTCCTTTTATGGCAGGGATCTGTGGTAACCTCCTTGCTGGAACGATGGCTTTGGTTTATTCGAAGAGCAGTCAGCAAGGCTGAGCCCTGAGCTCTTGCCACTGCTGCTGCCTGGCATGAATTAACAAAGCTCTACTACTGGTTCAACCAGTCTTCACCTTGCTGCTTTTTTAATCTGTGATGACTAAACGAACGGCAGACAAATGCGTGCGTTTTGGGTGTATATGGAAGGGGAAGGGGTGTTGTGAGGGAGGACAACTGGCTATGCCCTCATTTTATGTTCATCTCTCACAAGACATCCCTGTGTTTAGCTGTAGGACCCTCTCGTGCCAACTCAGGGCGTTACTGTAAAAGACAGAGAGGTTTAACGTTAAAACAAGTGTCACACGGGATGTTTCTTACTGTATATCCACCCAGGTCAGCATCAGGCTCTTTTTTAGACCAGCAAGCTCTGCCCTGGCTCATGGCTGCAGCTCCAGTGAGTAAGCAGGAGGCAAAAATAGTAGAAAACAAGTCTTCCCCAAACCAACCATTTCACTTGTCTGTTCCTCACCTTTGCTTCAGCTCTCAGAGGGGCAGATTTCTCTCAGCTCTCAGGAAATGCTGCCAAATCCAGTATTTCTCCAAAACAGCCTGATGAGGCATAAGGAGGCATCCTTGGGTCTTATGGCATCGTGAAGTCTCCCTCTTTTTAAGCTGCTTCTCCTTTCTCTCCCTCCCGCAGGTGAGTAGCGTGCTATTACTACTGATACACACATCTGAGTAGACAGAAAAGCAGCAGGTGGACAGAAAGTGAATTGCAGAGAAGCACCGAGGGGAATAGCTCAAGAGACACCATTGTCTGAAAAGTGGATTTACTGCCTATGACTCGTCTGCTGTAAAGGCTCACAATCTGGAACAAGTTCAGGGTTAAAAGTTCACAGCTGGGGCGTTGTAGTGTGAGCGAAGGGTGAGAACCAAGCAGCACACATTAAAGCTGATTGCCTCGCTTGTTTGCTATCTGTGGCTGTGATGCTCTTGCCAGGGATGGTGTAAACCCCAGAGGCCAGACAGAAATTCGAGCTCTGTTGCACGACAGGTTGTGGGGGGAGGCTCGAGATGTTCTGGGCTTGGAGCTACTGTGATCCATCCTAGTCGATCCACAGAGGAGGCTTCTCTTGTGTCCCATGACTTGCTCTCCTGCAGATCTGCTGCAGCCAAGGCAGAAAGCTTTATGCTGTGCGGGTGCAGGGACGATGCATTTTCCTGCCTGGGGTGGTAGAAATAATGGGTTGCAAAAATATTTATTGCCGGAGTCAGCATCTTTGCTGACTGATACGATCTCTACGCTGACTTTCACGATAGTCTTCCCCTCATCTTTCTACCCCAGGGTCACTTTTGGCAGATCCACACCAAACACGTGGCTCTTATCTCTTCTCTAAGGGGAAGCTCAGACGTTTCCCAGCCAAAGCTACCATGCTAAAAGGGAAACGAACTGACTTCAGCACTGGATGCTGGAGGCAGATGGGGCTTCATTTCTGAGAAGTTAAACACCCAGAGTGAAACTTTCTGTCTGCCACTGCAGTGGTTCTCTTTAAATATTCATTACACACAGCACCGCAATGGAAAATTCGGGTTATGCTTATGTTACCTTCCCTAGAGATTCAAACCTGGATTTTCTTGCATGCCAGCTAGCTGTTCTAACCTCTGTCAATGTGAATAATACTACCAACTTGGGTAATACCACCAGTATTATCCATTCTGCTCCCCCACGATCTGAAATCATATATATCTGGGGAAGCACCTGTGAGATGGGTCCTGTTTGCTGAAGAGGCAAGAGAACAGTCTGTACCAAGAAGCTCATCACTGCTCAGGCTGAGGGCTCTGCTTGTGTCTGGTGGCAGAAATGCAGGCAAGCGTGGGACTATTATTGTCAAGTGAGGCCTGAAGGAAGTCTTTGCTGCTGCCAGCGGTGCCTAAATATTCAGCATAGGTACTTGTAGTAAAATTAAAATCTTTTGGTGGGTCAAGTCAAGGCTCTAGGATCAGCCAGAGGCAGGGGTATGAATGGTACTGGGATACAAGACACACATGCTCTGTATTTAAAGTAGCTGTGTGTGCCTGGCTTCTGCTGGCTTGATTTTTTTTTTTAATTTCATCAAACTTGCGTGTCTTTGCGTCTTGGGAAAGGTGCCTTCCTGTGAGCACCTGGGTTACAAAGATTTTCTGTGGGGTGGAAGATATGGGAATTGCTTCAAGCATTATCTTCATGTGAAGCATCAGAGAAAAGGGGAGGGTGACCTTGTGACTGACCCTCTCTGGCAAAGCTATGGAAGGCTGCTAACAGCAGCCAAGCCTTGTGCTTTGCCTTGCCAACCCCAACATCAGAAAGCCCTGAGTGAGCACCTCGACCTCTCCCACAAAAACCCGGAAAGTTTAACCCCCTCAGGTGGTGTTCTGGGGTTTTCAAAGTTGTTGGGGAGGCTGGGTGTCAGTATTTGCCTTCTGTATTTTATCCTTTCAGGTCAAAGCAGATCACCTGGTTACTTTCTCTCCAGAAGCAGGAGAGTGAAGGCTTGTAACGGTCCTGTGCAGGTTCAAGTGACAGGGACCTGAAATCCTAGGTTTAGCCATAAGAAGACATGGGTTAAAAAATACAAAAATCTTAAAACTTTTAACACCTGACTCCAAGCCTGAAACCCAGGCTGGATATCTAAATGACCTCAGAATATCCACTAGATCCTGTGTCCTCTGTGAAAA